TTTTCTCTCTTTCGAAAGTCAAAGCCAGGCCAACTTGTTTACAGTCTGATGCCACTATCTGCAGGCTGAAGTCCGATTACCATTGATTCACATCAAATTACTCCCAATTGATAAGCCTGTTTCACAAAGGTCAAAGTAAATGGAATGACTTACTCTGACAGGAAGTCTGCATGGAAGTAGTAATCAGAGAGTTTGTCCAGAAAGGATCTTGGCTCCAGGATAAAAGTGGGTAACACAACCTTAGACAGGTCCATGCCAGGCCGAACCTGCTTCAGCAGGGTCCAGATCAGAGACTTGTTCTCCTCTGATACAGTTTCTGTCTGAGCAGCTTCACCAGCCTGAGGACACAGAAAACAGCAGACAGGTTAAGTAATTGCATGTGTCCTGTTGTAACATTGTGCTGCCACTGCTGGGGTGCAGTAGCTCCACCACCCCACTAGGGGGAGGAAGCGGGTTTGTGCACTCAATTTTCTCTTGTAAATATAGGAAAAGTTCACGGAGTCTGGCTAAGTTGCTACCAGCACACACAATATTAGCTCTGAAGTTGGCTATATATATGCTTGTAAGTACGATTATATTCTGTGTTCATGTTAAGTATGTGATGTAAAATAGGTTGTTGACTCTTATATTTGAAGCCGGCATGTTAGCTGCACTGCCGATGCTAATTGTGTTAGCATGTCAATAGGAAATTCCATTATGTGTTAGCATCAAGCTAGCGGGATTTGGTGTTAACATGTTTTCATTTATTTTTCTTGGTTATACCAGCTATAATTCAAGTTGTTAAGTCTTCAGTGTGTACTTGTAATGTGAGAAATATATTATGTTCCGAATGTATGTTTTAATATGCTTTTCTTATGTTTGTAGTTTTACAGTGCCTTCATTAGGGAGACAAATAAACCCTGCAATGCGACAGGAAGCCTTTGCCTCTCCTTTTGAAGAACTGTTTATCTATCTGCCAAACTGGGCATCAACGTACAGGGAGGGCAGAATAAACATATATGACAAACTGACACTTGTCACTTTTTTTTTTTAAACTTTTGTTAACGCTACTTTCACATTTTTATGCATGTCCACAAGCTTTAAAGTTCACATGGCTTTTTGTGCAAATGGTGCTTTCATTAGCTCTTGAGTGTAAACATTTTGCTTCAGTCAGTGTTTAATTATTGTCTCGTTTAGATTTCATCAGGACGGAAATCTGTGTTTTCACTTTCACACTTATCCTCACATCCCTCGCAGACACCCACTGCGATCAAAGCTCGTCCATGTTACAGGCTGAATAGCCCTGCAGAGGAACATGCTAATTTCTCCTCATTATGTGAGAAACTTTATTAAAAACAAGCCTTCAGATGAAGTTTTAAAGATGAAAATTGCTGCTACAAATCCTAGGAGATTGTATCCTAGTGGTACAATCACATCTCATCTGCAATGCTTTTTCTTGTTGATGTTCAAAGGAGAGCAAAATTGCAGCCTCCCACCCCCTGTTCCATACCTCTCCTAACTCTTCCTGGGACTGTTCCAGGTATGGGGTTTCACGCAGATGCTCATTTGGGTCCAGGTCAATGTACGAGTCATCCTGACGCTCTGATGTGTCGCTGTCACTCTCCTCACTTTTCTCCAGCCCCTCTGGATCTGACTCCTCGTGGTCCTGCTCTCCTTCCCGATCTGACTTGTCCGAGTACAGGTCCGGGTCTTTCAAATGGTCGCTGTCATTGAACCTGTGAGAAGCAGGGGAATATCAGACAAAGAAGTTTTAAATCCATAAAATCAGTAATAGCCGGGCTCTACAATCGAATGTAAATGACATTTCCTACTCACTGGAAACCGTGTATGTTGTGGGCTCTGAGGAGGCTGTAGAAATTAATGGAGTGTTCCCCACCAGTGCCTACAGTGCTCATGTCATCCTTCCCCTCACGGATCATGGTCCTCTTCAGCAGGCTGGAGCACTTCAGGGCCAGCTCCAAGGCATCCATCCAGCATCGGCCTGGAAACAGGAATTAAGCTGATAAACAAGACGCAGAAACCATTTTGTGAATTATTGTTTTCATGAAATCTATTC